CTTCGGGCACACCCCTAATGTCGTTTTAGCAGTGGAGACATTTGCAGAAAAGGAAGAGAGGAGTGACTGATACACACTAAGGTCGGTTGAGTTTTTTGATTTGTGCCATTTCATGTTATGTTGCAATGCTTAATATTTTAAACAACCCAGTAGTTTCATTAAAGGGGTGGTTCACTGGCTTTTTTCTAGGCTTGATTGTGTTTATGGGGTGAAGTCTAACATGTGTTAATGCTTCGTTTTTTTTAAAAACTCATTATTTTTCACACCTTTCAGCTTCGTAACTTTGCAGATATTGTTTATGCTCAAACAGCAACATTACACACTAACTAACGTTAAAAAAGTGAAATCGCAATCAACGACCCCTTTAAACATCTTTCCTTTAGGGGATTTAAGATGTGTCGGCATTTATCCAGATTTAGTTATGTTTAAGAATATTCTTTTTTAGGAATTCCGATTTTGTCTTAAGAAAAAAGGTAAGAACAATGTTTTTGGGAATACAAATATTCTAAACTTTCATTCTAATATATCAGTTAAGAGCATTTTTTTTTTCTTCAGAATGATTTGTTACTCTAGCCTTGGTCTGTTCTGTTCAGTACCCGGTCATGCAGCACTGCACTGTAAACAGCTGGGTCTGGACCATCACCATACATAGTGTACATGTCCCTGACTGTTGTACATTGTCTTCCTCATGGATTGTCATTCTGTAGATAGTTTTCCATGCACCACCTGCCTGTGTGGTCATACCGTACTTTCATTGTTTCAGTAATCGGCTTTATTGTTTCCTGTCCTGCAGTGCATTGTTTTGACTTAGTACAGATTCATGTTTAATTAATATTTAATCAACAGAGCTTAATTTTACTGGTGATACAGCCTTCATTCATTCATGACAGAGACATACATGATTTAGCTTGGACAATACCAGACTTAATTCAGAGTTATGCTTACAGCTATTTTGTTTATATACAAATTTTCTATCGGAATAAAAACATTGGTAACACTTTACATTAAGGTTCAATTTGTTAACATTATTCAATGTCTTAGATATCATAAACAATACATTAAACTAACTAATAGACTACTAGATTAATGTTAATTTATAAATATATTATTGTTCTGAAATTCATGTTAAAACTATTAAAACTGTTATCTTGTAAATTCACATCCTAGTTTAACTTATCAGGACATTTGATTATCAGCACAAAGTCTGGTGCACACTGTAGCTGTCTTAGGTAATATTACAGTATTAAGGCTTAGTTTATTATTCAATTTCTTACACATACATAAAGAAGAAACTTCTGTGGCATTGAGCAAAGAATATACTGACAGGTGTCAACATTGAGGGGCAGTGTAATGGATTAAGTTCAACGACACAATATCCTATTGTCAGTTTCATCTACTTCTTTAATTTCTGTATATTTATTTATGGCCTTTGTGTGTTTGTAATGTATAGGACAGTGAAGAGAAACGGGAAGGTAGAGGAAAAGAGAGGGAAAATGCTTTGTGCCACGGGGGCATTGCAGCTGTACGTTATGAGCACGTTATTTTTTCTTAATTATTCCCACATCAAAATCAGGTTGGTTAATAATAGACGAAGGCCTGTGTGTTAAATGAATCAGGTGTGTTAGTGTCTGCTGCTCCCTCCCTCCGAAGCCCCGAAACAGATGAGCATTCCAGTGAGATGGACAGGCTCAGACATGTCTCTGTGCTGTTTGTTCTGCTGTGCTGGCACACTGTTCACTGAGCAGCTTCATATCTCACACACCTGTCTCTGAGTGCTGCAGCGGCCCCGGGGTCAGCCACTTCTGAGGTAATACACACAGCTACACTGAGACACAAACAATGTTTGTTGTCTGACAAGTTTTGAATGTACTGTACAGTACACAACAAATCAGGGATGGAAAAAAAGTAAGTGTGTGTGTGTTTAATGTTCCTGTTGAATTAAGTGTGTCTGTTTGTCCTGCATAGCAGCTGGCGCTCTGTCTGCTCACAGACATGAGAACTCCCTGTACTTTTGTTCTCAGCTTTTTTTTGTTATTAGTACAATAGAGACCGCCCACTTTTTCAGCCACCTGGGTTCTGGATGTATTTTTCCCTTTCATTTTCTCCATAGACATTTTAGAAAATCCTTCAGTCAGAATTCTAAAAAGTTTACTGAAAGTAAACACCCTTATATTATGTTTAAATGTTTGATTGGCTGAATCAGTGAGTTCAGCCATAATTTGCTGCATTAATATGCAGCTAATTTTCTATCGGTTGTTCCAGTAGATTTTGTGGACTGAATTAAACTAGAAGAGAGCTCACGCTGATGGTTTAAAGTGTCACTGAGGAAAGTTAACTTTAGACATGCCGTGGCCCAGTGGCATGAGAGGCAGGCAGCAGCTGCCCAAGTGTCAGAAACCCAGCACACACATCCCTGTTCAACGGGATCCATTTATAGACGCCCCTAGTCCAGATACCAGGACAATCCCATTTCAGTTGTATTTCTTAAACAGTTGAGAGGCTGACATAATGAAAAATATTCAAACTGGATGAGGCCATTGACTTATGTGACTGATGTGTATTCTTAGATTTGCCTTTTTTTTTTTTTTTTGTGAGGCTGGTTTGGTTAAATACAGTCGATTTGAATTGAAGTGTCAATTGAAGTGTTTCCCACAAACTGGTTTATACTGGCTTTGTTGTTGGAAGTTTTGCTTACATTTTTCAGTTGTATTTAAGATACATAATTTTCTCACTTCATTTCAGCTCAATTTACTTTAAAGGCTTTAAATTTGTTTTGTAGATTTGACTTTACCACAATTGAAGTCGCCACCAGCTTAAAGCTAAAGTGTGTCTTTCTGGACTACTGATAAAACCAAACGAGTCGCAAATAATCATATGCGTTCTACTGCCTTTCATCATACTTTTGCTATTGGTTGAGTCAGAAGATGACATGTTGGGATAGTTTTAACTTACTTATAGTTAACCGTTCCTAAAAAATTCTGTCATCAATTACTCACCCTCATGTCGTTCAAAACCCATAAGACTTTTGTTCATCTTCAAAACACAAAGGAAGACATTTTTAATGAAACTTGAACATTTTCCGTTCCTCTATTTAAAGTGATTCCACCAAAACTTTGACATTTCAAAAATTTCATAAGATCACTGTAAAAACAAAAACAAAATTCCAAATGAATCGAGCAGTTTAATCCAAGTCTTCTAAATAGAAACAATTATTTTATATGATAAACCGATTTAATTTAAGCATTTATTTGCATATAAACATTGCTGCAAGAGCAAACCTCATTGGTTTTCACACATCAAACCTTTGTGCTTCCATTTACCATATTTGACGAGCTCTATGTATGTGCGTTGATCAGTGTTTATAGGTGAATAAAAGCCTAAATTACATCTGTTCACCATATAAAGTAATCATATCTTCAGAGGACAGATTTTTCATTTCTGGCTGAACTATCCCTTTAAGGGCTTGGAGGTTTTAATAGGTGTCACCTTTTGAACTGGACCAGTGTCCCACAGTACGTGTGCTTGTTGTTTGAGATGTTAAAAACACATTTCCCTTCATCCACCCCAAAGCTTCAACGTTACAAAGATATTACAAAGCTCCGCCGCCTCAGTACTGGACGAGCTGGAGACAGCAGGCAGAGTCTGGGGTCTATCTCTCCCTGCCCACCTACCTCAGCCACAGGGGCGCTCAGCTCCACCCAGGTAGCCCTGGTGCCGTCCCGTCCCACACCATCTGGCATGCATGTCCTAATGCTCTAATAACCTCACAGAGTCATGCTTGTTTTCACACCCATACTCAAGATCTCCATGATCCTGCTCCAAATCACTGCAATTACTGAGAACTAATGAATGGAGTAGAGTTCATCCTATTCAAAGGATATGAAAATTACATGTAACCACGATTGAAGATTAACAGAATAACCAGTAAAGAAGATACAATTCAGAAGCAATCTGGTTGACATCTGAAAATGTACCTGTATACTAACACCCTCTTGCAGAATTTAAAAATTGACTGAGTGTCACTGAACAGCAAGTACTGAGTGGCAGTGTCCACTGTCTAGTGGATTTTTAGAGGTTTCAATATAGACCTGGCCTGCATGTAAGGTGAAGATTTTTGACATTTAGCCCAGAAACATACTTTACGCAAGTGCACAAATTCAGACATGAATGCTTGGCCGACACGTTGCAAGTGCATACTTAACCTGCACTGTCACAGTACCAAAGATAGGAGTTATTTTCTTCACGTCTGTGTATTAACGTGGCATTAAGAAACGAAGTAGGGTTGATTTAGATTTCATGTTCATTTTAACTAACTTGCTCAGAAAGATTCAATTCTAACCATTGCTCTGCCATGACAGTAGTTGGCCTAATTTTTGAAGAAAGGTATTTAAGGCCCGTTCACACCAAAAACGGTAACAAATGACAACCGTATTAGTGTCCACACCAATGGACATTTATTATGTTCTGATTACTATAAACACACACTGCAGTTTTGTTGTTTGCTGCTTTAAATGCTTTTGCTCTTTAAAGTCGTGAGTTCTGATTAACTATGTTTTAATTGTGCATCTGTGAAAAAAATTCTGAAAGTGATTCCGACGATATTGTTGCTCTGTGCCATTGTTATAGTTGTGATGTGGACTTCCCAATTATTAACAATTATTAAAACTTCATAGTTATCGTTACATTTATCGTCCTTGGTGTGAACAGGTTTCAGCCAAAGGATTTGCGTTCATAAACTTGCATAGAGTGGTATGTTTTAGACCTTAATATTAAAACACTTATCTTTAGAATATTATCTGTAGAATCTATTATCTTAGAATATTAAATCCCTCCTCATCTTGTACTAATACCATATGATTAATTCCATGGCATGCAAATCATTGTTCTTTCATACCGACTAATTTGTTGTTGCCACATGTGCTTTAACCCTCATTTCTTGTGAAGTTTATTTTGATTGCATTTATTTATTTTTTTCATTTATTTATTTTTTTTTTCTACAGTGGATCCCTCTCAAGTCCAGGTCCCAGTCAAGCGATCTCCTCCCATTCCTCCAAAGAGGATGACTCCTGTGACCAAACACCACTCAGATGACTCTTCGGCCAATCAGCCTGAGCCTCCCTTACCTCTGTACATACGTATCCAGAGAGCCTTGAACAGCCCAGGCCCAGTCCAGCCCAGTCCTGAAGAATCCCAGCGAGCTCATTCGCTTCTGTTTGAATTACCACCGGACTTTCTCACTGAGGCCCCAGGAGGGGGGCGAAACTCTCTTCCTGTCACTATCGAACCTCTGCGACTGTGAGTGTGCATATCAGTTTATCTCAGAACACAGTGTTCTCTGCTCTTGGACGCTTGTAGCAGATTGCTACTTTTTGCATCCCATGAAGAAATGTTGCCTAGTATTATGCTGCTTATGTGTACTATACATTTTCTTTACACATTTTACACATTTTCTGGAAATGTCATCACCCCCAGGCCATCTGAGACGTAGTTGAGTTTGTTTCTTCGTCACAACAGATTTGGATAAATGTAGCATTACATCACTTGCTCACCAGTGGATCCTCTACAGTGAATGGGTGCCGTCAGAATGAGAGTCCAAACAGCTGATAAAAACATCACAATAATCCACAAGTAATCCACACCACTCCAGTACATCAATTAATGTCTTGTGAAGTGAAAAGGTGCATGTTTGTAAGAAACAAATCCATAATTAAGGCATTATAACTTCAAACAGTCACTTCTGGCCAAAATACGAGTCCATAATCCATAACAACGCTTCTTCCAGTGAAAAAGGAAGAAACATCCCCTGTCGTCCTCTCACATCAGAATCCACCCACATATTTGTTTAGAACTGATTTTGGACTGTTTTTGCTTAATCTATTAATATTATTCTCCTGATTCAGACGAGATGATTTTTTTAATGGAGAAAGCAACATTATGGATAAAGGACTTGTATTTTAGTCAGTGCCATTAGTTAACACCTTAATGATGGATTTGTTTATTGCACTGTTTTGCTTCTCAAGACATTAACTGATGGACTGGAGTGGTGTGGATTATTGTGATGTTTTTATCAGCTCTCGTTCTCACGGCACCCATTCTCTGCAGAGGATCCATTGGTGAACAAGTGATGCAATGCTGCATTTCTTCAGATCTGTTTCCATGAATAAACAAACTCATCTTGGATGGCCCGAGGGCAAGTAAATTTCCAGCAAAGACTATGGCCAACTAGTTGTACATTCTGTGCCTGTGTGAGGGGAAGTAACTCTCCCATCCAGTAGGTGGCAGTAGTCTGTATTCGTCAAAAAGAGAAATCGGAAGTGCTATGCCGGCAGATATTCAAACCGATTACAAAGCAGCACATGCTTTACATCTTCTACACCAATGTCATCAGTGCGATATCTTTTGAGATCTTGGTTTGTCAATGCTTTTAAATTGTCCTAATCATGCTACATATACACTACACTACATTTATAATATGTTACATGCATGCTATGTGTTGCGGTAAAATGTACACAACCACACACCATTCATATGTTCACTGTGTTTTTGTGATTATGTATTGATTAGGCCTGAGGACGATGATTTTGACATTGAAGAAGAGCTGCAGAAGCTGCGGCCTGCCCCTCGGCCTACACAACAGCCGGAGCTGGAGCCGCGCAGCCGTCGCGGTCTGGTGGGAGACCCGCGGGTCACTGTCATTCCTGAGGATGCGGGACATGGAAACAGCGATGATGAGGACGAGGAGAGTGATTCGGATGGACCCATCCATTACAGAGATGACGATGAAGAAGATGATAATGATGAGGATGTTCCCAAGAGTATGATCCTTTTATACTGTCTGACCAGCTGTATGAGGGTTATTTAGGAATGTCCTGTACTAATAATATGTGCATTAAAAACGTAGCACTTTACTGTTACCACAGTTGGCATTTTAAAGCATGAAACTGTGGAATAAGGTGTTAAAACTCTGATTGCCATTCAAAAGTTTGTGGTCAGCATACATTTTTTTTATATATACTTTTATGCAACAAAGACAGATTCAGTTGGTCAAAAGGGACAGTTAAGATATTTTTAATGTTACAAAAGATTTCAAATAAACTTTCTATTCATCAAAACAATCCGGGAAAAATATATAGAAAATCTACAGCACAACTGTAATAGGATAATAATCAGAAATGTTTCTTGAGCAGTAAATCAGCATACTGTATTAGAATGATTTCTGAAAGATCATGTGACACTGAAGTATTGATGCTGAAAATTCAGCTTTGCATCACAGGAATAAATTACATTTTAAAATATATTCAGATAGAAAACAGTTATTTTAAACTTTAATAATGTTTCAGAATATTACTATTTTTACTGTATTTGTAATCAGATTAATGCAGCATAAGAGACTTGTTTCAAAGACATTAAAATAGGGCTGCATGATTAATCGAATTTAAATTGCAAAGGCGATAAATCGCAATTAGGCAGAAGCTGCAATTGTCATGCATATCTTTCAGTGAAGCACGGTTCTGTGATCAGAAGTAAATCTCCATCCAAAGGCCAGAGGGCGCTCTCGCACTGAAACTCCAAATACGCCTCGCAGAAGAAACCCAGGAAATCCCTATCGCTGCAGCTGAATAAACAAGATTTAACTACTTTCATTGATTCAACATGACTAATAAACACACGACTACGACAATATATGGTTTATCTGAGTTTGTCTTATTATAATTTTTATTATAGTAAAGTATATAATAATGCAATGCTAATCGACATAGCCTTCATCACTGCTTAGAATACTATGAAATATAGTTGCAGTTGCAGGTAGTAGTTAATATAAAAATAGTTGTGTGGCTTATTCTGTGTAAGAAGCCACATCATCTCACAGAAGGATTTACTTCAAACACTCGACTGACGTTATGAAGTGAGTTTGGAGTAAAAACATGTTATTAAATGTGGTATTTTCATTTCATTTCATTTCATTTTCAGCTTTCATAATCGCAGAATGATTTCGATTTCATCATCGCGCGATTATAACGTCTGCGATTATGAACGCGATTTTGCGTAGCTTGTCAGTGAACTACGGCTCTGTGTAGTAAATGCTGCTCCATCTGAAAGCATGTGATGGAGATTTACTACTAATCACAGAACCGGCTTTACTGACAAGATGCGCATGACAATCGCATTCGATTAAACGTGCAGCCCTACATTAAAAAAATCATACAGACTTTTGAATGGTAGTCTATAGGGCTGGGTATCATTCCAAAATGTTCGATATCAATACCGATACCTTGATTTGGATGCAGGAACTGATATTTTTCACTCTTGTGTCGGATTGGCCTACAAGTAAATATAAAGTGTACAAGTAAAAGTAATGTGTGTGTGTCTCGTCAGGTGGTCTTGCACTCCGTGTGAAGCGTAAAGACACTCTGGCATTGAAGCTGGAGCGTCAGCAGGAGAAAGAGCAGTCTCAGGACCAGGAGAACAGCACCTGGAACAACAAAGAGCAGTGGGAAACTGTCCGCAATCAGATTGGCTCCACCCTCACAAGGTCTGCGTGTGCGTTCACTGCGGGTTTATGGGTCTTTGTAATCCACACTGACACTCAGAGGCATAGCAATAAGGCAGGCAGTTACCCGAGGGCTGATCGTTTAAATAATCAGAAATGTTAATATTAACGGAGAGTCTATTTACAAATATCCCACCTTGTTGACTGAGGCTATTTACAGTAACTCCGCCGAGCAGTGTCTGTTTGGGACAGACACAAATTACAAAACACAGAAACAGTGGCGTAAGACGCATGGCAACGACTTCTGACGTGATCGACCCAAGATCAAATCTGCCTTTTGCCCAACTCTTTCTTCTCCCTTTTCCCATCACTTATCAGATCGAAAAGGTGTTTATCTACAATAAAAACGAAACAAATGTTCGAAAAGTGTAAATTAAGTGCCTCACGGGTATTTAATAACACAGAGTTTATCGGGAAGGGTTGAGGTAGACATAGGGAGGGCTTTATTGTCCCAATAAGGCGGCATCCATTAAATAATTGTAATAAATATGATTATTGACACTCAATATGCTATTATTGCATACTATTTAATAATTTAATATAATACTGAGGTGCAAATATCTGCCACTATTTGCACTAAGTATAAATAGCATCTATTATTTACACTTCTTGCAAAGAAAATGCTGTTATTTTTACATAATGTAAATAGCATATATCGCTAAGAAAATGTGATAACCATATACTAACTATATATTTCTACCATATATATGGTTATAAATATGAAGATTGTACTGTATCTTGAAGATTGTATTATATTTGTTTCTTCTATTATAAAGTCATTTAGTTAATTAAAAAATAAGCACTTTAATGTTGGAAAAAATAAACAATTTATGTTCTGTTAGATGTGTTTAGGCTACTTTTTGAAGCCACTTAATCTAGGTTCGTCTCTGCTGACACTGTGTGTTTTTTCTCATAGGAGGTTGAGTCAGAGACCCACCGCACAAGAGCTTGAGCAGAGAAACATCCTACAAGGTCAGTCTTACAGCCCTGGTCTTCTAGTCCTCCACAGCATTTGTGGTCATTCATAGCTGGTGTAGTTCCCAATTTTGTGATGCTTCCAGTAAAAAACAAAAAATATAATAATAATATCAGCATGTTCTTCTGTTTCAGCCAAGAATGAAGCAGACCGACGGGCAGAAAGGAGTGAAATCAAGCGCAGACTGACCAGAAAGGTTTGGAGGCACACATCCATTACTTGATTGAGTTTGTTTCTCACGAAAACCTCTAAAGGTCTTGTTTAGAATCAGTTTTGTATACAAATACACTACCGTTCAAATGCTTGGAGTCAGTAAAAGATTTTCTTTTGTTTTGTTTTTAATTCAATCTCTTCTGCTCACCAGGTCTGCATGTAATTGATCAAAATACAATAAAAGCAGTAATATAGTGAAATAGTATTACAATTTAAAATAACTTTTATATTTGAATATATTTTAAGATGTAATGTATTCCCCTGATGGCAATTCCACCCTCCTTTTGGTGCTGATTTGGTGCTTAAGGACCATTTAAACATTGGTAATATAAGAAAACAGTTGTGCTGCTTCATAGTTTTGTGGAAACTGTCGTTCAAACTTTTTTTTAGGATTCTTTAATGAATAGAAATTTCTAAATTACAGCATTTATTTGCAATAGACATGTCCCATTGTAAATGGCTTTACTGTCTTTTTTTATCAATTGAATGTGTCCTTAAAAAAAAAAAAAGATGCCAAATATTTGAATGGTGTCCCTGTGTTAAAAGTTGTTAATCAGGGAAAGTTTAAATAATTACAATTTTAAATCTTGCTCATGTAAGTTATCTCTCGTATCTCTCTCTCTTGCATAATAAAAACATCTTAAATCACTTCTGTTAGAGTTTTAAAATTCTAAACTAGATAATACATATTAAAATAGAAATGCTTGACGACTTGCTCCTTTAACTTAACTGTCAGTGAAAAGTAAAAAAAAAAACTTCAACTAACCAAGTTACAATTTTCACACTCTTTCCATTAGGGGCAAAAATATTTTGCTTGTGGTGAAAGTATGTGCTAATCTTACTGAACTTGAAAACAAATGCTGTTGTGTCTCTGTCTGCAGTTGTCACAGAGGCCCACGGTGGCCGAACTGCAGGCCAGAAAGATCCTGCGCTTTCATGAGTATGTGGAGAGCACTCACGCTCGAGACTACGACCGGCGCGCCGACAAACCCTGGACCAAACTCACACCTGCTGACAAGGTCCGACCCAATCACTGCTCGCAGCTTCCCCCTAGTGGTGACTGATATAGCAGCATTTAAATGGTGTCTTATGTAAATTGTAAAGAGTTTGCACATTTGCACATAATTAAAAACCACAAAACCTCCTTGCCAAACATATCTTATTTGAAAAGGCACAGTGACATTGACAGACTCTGTTTCTCAACCATATTGACATTAAAGTATTGGAATTGTATGTTGATTTGACCACATGGCATCCTCAATAAGGTGTACTGTAAGGTGTTTTATAGTGATACTCTGAGCGTTCATGATGTTCTTTCTTTGTCCTCTTCCAGGCAGCCATAAGAAAAGAGCTGAACGAGTATAAGAGCTCAGAAATGGAAGTCCATGAGAAGAGCAGGATATACACCAGGTCTGACACTTTCAGCACTTTCTTAATTGGAATAAATGAAGAAGTGTTTGCACACACAAGAATATTGAGATATTAATGGGAATTTGGTCAAATGCTTCACGTAAACACCATAACCCAGCAGCCAATACCTGGTTACTAATCTGAAAAAGACGGCATGTGTCTGTATTAATCCGAATATTGGATCTTATTCAGAATATCCACATTGATCTTGATCTATATCTGTATCTGCAGAGCCATTCAAAAGTTTGGGGTCTGTAAGACTTTTTTTTTTTTATGTTTTCGAAAGTCCTCATGCTCAACAAGCCTGCAATTATTTGATCCAAAATACCGTAAAAACAGTGATATTGTGAAATATTCAGTGTTAATTACATTTTGTCAACAACATTTTTTCACAGATGAAAACCAGATGATAATGAAATAAAAACTCTTTTTGAATGACTAAAACAATGACGAAAATGTATCGACATTTTCAAGCCACAACGTAGCAGAACTAGAAACCGTTTCTAAAAAAGAAACTTTGCGTCGCCATTGCGGCTGGTTCGGACAAGAACTCAGATGAACATGAAAAGATGCCTTTTTATCACGTCGCGTGTAGTTAGGACACGGTGTATTCAGATGACTAAAACTAAATGGTATTTCAGTCCAAAGACTATGACTAAAACTAAATCAATTATTTGCTGTCCAAATGAACACTGGTTATATTTAAAAATGTAATTTATTCCTGTGATCAAAACTGATCCTTCAGAAACCATTCTAATATGCTGATTTGCTGCTAAAGAAACCTTTCAAATTAATAGAATGCTTAAAAGAACAGCATATATTTAAAATACAAATATTTTGGGACATTATACTGTCACTTTTGATCAATTTAATGGGCCCTTGCTGAATAAAAGCATTAGTTACTTCTACAGCAATCTTACTGAAAGTGAATGAATAGTATTGAAAGTGTTTGGGGCGGCCACCTTTTTGTTTTCCCTGATTAAAGGCAATAATTGGGAAATAATGTGCATGTGAACATGATCATTGTCTTCAACCATCACCTGGACTTTATAACGAAAATGTCATGTCTTTTTCCAATTCCTTTTGCAGGTTTCACCGGCCGTAATCAGCATCTCAGAAGAGGAAGCCCCAGATGGATGAAAGCTGCAGCTGAAAGCCTCCATCTCACTCCAGCATCTTGTTTCCCATGATCCTGTACTGACGAGTGCCCAGGCCAGCCGCTCAGTGCTCTGGAGTGAAAAGGAGGAGGAAGTGATGCGGGTGTGTGCAGGATGCTGGTACTTGTTGATTCAGACACTTGGGGAGCGGGTTTGGAGGGCCAGCGCTCCGTAGAGTTCCCATGATTCCCACGGCCAGAGTATTTCAGGGAGAAGAGGACACGGGACTGCGTGGACTGGGCTGTTTTAATTGTCTTTATGGTGCACATGTTTCTGAGATCAAGAATAGGCTTGTGTACATAACAGTAATACTTTTATGGAAATGATGACACTGGTGATTAAACTGTTTGAGTGGTGAGCGATTATGAGAGACTGAGTGTGTGTGTGTATGTATGTATGTGTGTGTGTGTGTGTGTGTGTGCGTGTGTGTGTGTGTGTGTGTGTGTATGTGTGTGTGTGCGCGCGCGTGTGCATGCATGTGTGTGTGTAATGATATATGCTGTCCACTTATGCCTTAACACTGGTGCATGACTTTCTTTAGCCTGACCTGCGGGGAATACAGAAGAAAGTCTGTTGACACAGATGCATTTAACACTGTTTCTCACGCTGAACACACACTTACTGATATGTGTGGATCTGAAAGCACATCTTTGACATTCTCAGGACGTCGGCACACAGTCTCACTTTCTCTTTATGTGCATTTTACTGTAAATTACCATAGTTTTACTTTTCACACAGATAAAACACCTGCTTTAAAATTGTTCTTCTCTTTTTAACAACATAGCACTTCACTTTAGATATTTCAAGGCCATATTTTAACCCAAAAATCTTATTTTTTATTTATTTATTTATTTTTTATTTTTTTAGCATGGAGAAAATTAAGCCTATATACCAGTAAGATTTTTAGCATTGTGAGATTATTTTCATCATTTAAGCATATTTCCCCCCTAAATTATTCTTATTATAATGTGTTGGATGTTTTACTGTTGAGTCTTTTTCTGCTTCTTCTCATGTGCATTATTCTCAATGGTAATTATTGTTACTGTAATAGATTTTTTTATTACAGTAAAATACTGTAATACATTTTTTTCTTATAAACATGGATTAAAAGCAATAAAAAAATCACATATTACCATAAGAAGAATATACAGTATATATATATAATTTTTTTTTTCATATCACTGGAATGTTTTTTTTTTTTCACAATGCCAAACATTTGAATGATCCTAAAGCTTCATTTTCTTTAAGCAAAACTTTTTATTTTTTTTTAATATATATATATATATATAAAAAAATATATGACTTTGACATGTTGTTGATGGGTTTCATGAAATTCAGCTCTTAATTGTGATATAGTTCGCCATGCATTGAACAATTTAAAACAAAATGGTTGATGTTACATCGTGCAGTCATTGTAAAAATCTTGCATTTTTGAGTGGTACATAAAATGAAACTCATTTCCATGTCACTGCTAGTTTTATGGTACACTTTTTGTTGGCCACCAGAGGGCCTGTGCACTGTATAGAGACATGCTGTAGATTTAATTTGATTGTATATCTCGTCTTCCTGACATCAGAAATGTGTTTTAATTGTAATTATAGTGTTACACTATCCTCTTTTTATAAGGTGCAAACAGAATGACTGCAGGTTAAGTGAAACAATGATACGGTACAGAACAGCTGTATAGATACTTTTTTATGTAAAGATATATTAAAAGGTCTGTCAATTAATACATGTACATTCACTTCACTATTAATTAAAACTAAACTGTGAGCATAGTTTGGTTCATTTTGGGGTTTATTTTACATAAAGACAACCTAGTTGTGTACTCATGCATGGAACATATCAGTGTTACTTGGATGCCTCATTTGATTCATTTTTACAACTATAGTAAATGTGTTCACCAACAAATTATTCAAAAATACGCTGTTTTTTGGACATTTACCATGGTGTAATGGCATGGGTTTTGGGATGTATTCCATTTGCAATATTTACTTGGGGCCTGTAGAGGGCACTATTGATTTAGCTCAAAATTACCAGTTGTCTTGTGTTTCTTTTACCTGTCTGATCAAGAATTTCTTAAATGTGTAATATATGTGTGTTTTTTACACTATATTGCAATGGCCGTGTAATGGTGATCCTTGTTCTTATAGCATTGTGTGTTTAAACCGTGAAGTATCAACACTTGTGTCTGTCTGCTGTGGTTTCAGAGTGAAATCTATCTTTTTATGAGCACTCAAAAGCTTTTGAAATGTTAATTAATAAGCTTGCGAGGGGGAATGCCATTGTGGCCTCCTTATTGATATGTTTATGAACAGCCCACCCATCATGACATTTTGAAGTTTGCCCGTATCATGCATTTTTAATGGTTTTCCACCGCTCTCCAACCCTCTTCAGTCCCGGCACTGCACTCTCTCTCATCCACATACTGTCTCTCTCTTCCTTTATCTGTCTTTTGCACACATTTCCCACAGTTAAGGCCCGTTCACACCAAGAATGAAAGCTATAACTACATTTTTAATAATCGTTCTAATTTTATGAGAATATGGATGTCCACACCAGAGCTATAATGATAACGACACGGAGACTAGTCTTAGACGTCACACCTTCTGCCATCAGTTTAAAGGGTTAGCTACACGAGACGATGTCGCTAGAATCATTTTCAGAATGTTTAACAATGAGAGCCAATCAGAATCCATCCGACTTTAAAGAATACAAGGGCTGTGTCCGAAATCACATATTTCCTTACTACAAAGCAGGTGAAAAACAGATGTGTGAATTCACATTACTCATAAAAGAGTTGGCAAAAACTACCAGATGACACACTAGTTCTAGTGGGATTCTGAAGTGTGCATATGATGGACACTTTACTATCCCATCTACACATTCATACTACAGACCATGTAGCTCCACCCCTTTTCAGCAGTGTGCTCCTTGTCTTCTGTCTTCCATTTGTATTTCCCCAGCGTGAAGGTAAGGTCGTACCAATTTATGAATGATCTGCTCATTCTAAAATCTTCCTGGTCTACTGACATTTGTTGACATCCGCTTTGAACATTATAATGCACATGATAACTTTCAATAACTACAATAAGTAAATCCACTTAACCAGCTAATTTATCTTCAATGGCGATGCTATAGAGCTACCGCTATAACGGAAGTTCAAAGACAGAATTTTAAAGATGGCTGTGTGCCTGTTTCTCTGGCGCATAAGGTCTATTTCAGGGGTGTCCAAACCTGTTCTTAGAGAGCCACTGTCCCGCAGAGTTCAGCTCCAACCCCAATTAAACACACCTGATCCAGCTATTCAAGGACTTCAGACTCACTAGAAACAAAAGCTGCGTCCGAAAGCTCTTAAATGCTGCCTTTGGAGGACGCATTCTAAGGTAGGAAGGCATCAATGCACGTCCGAATCCAAATTTAGCTTCACTTCCTGTCTCATGAGATACCTTCATCTGATCGATTCATAGATGTATCCTTCGCTGCCTTTGATATCCCACAATCCTGTGCGTTCCATTCCGTGATGGTTGAGCTAAAAAATAAAGATGGCGTCTGAAAGTTGCGTTTGGAGGTCAGTTTGTGTGTAAATTTATATTTCTGACAAACTTTTTGCACTTTTGATGTTAGTTCTGGATTGAAATCAGTCTTATAGTAATTAAATATTTGTTTAGTTATCACCAAAACTCGTTCTATTTTGTTGTAGATCATTAAACCGCTACACTGCCTCAGAAGTCTGTCCGAAATCAGTTTCACGAGGTGCCTTCGTGCAAAAACGTTGCCTGCAAAGTCATTGCCTGATAGGGCAGCGAGGCAGCAAGTGAGCTGCCTAGGCTTTCGGCCACAGCCACAGCCACTAAGGCAAGCCTGCAACCTTTAGCCCAAAAAACATAATGGTTAATGCTAGCGCTGCGGCTTTGGCGGTATGCAAGGAAGGAGACTAGAGGCCATTGTATGATTGGCTAAAGTGCCTCACATGAGCAAAAATAGCCGCTACGCTTTTTCCAATGGTAAGTTCTACAGACCCTAGCATCTCCCAATAATAAGGCCATGTCTGCTAGAAACTTCCAGGTAAGTGTGTTGGAGCTGGTTGGAGCTAAACTCTGCAGGACACTGACTCTCCAGGAGCAGGATTGGACACCTATGTACTATCAAAGTCTATAAAATACCCAAGACGTGTCACTCCTGTAGTTTTGAATGGGGAAAAATGCAACGCTCAATAAGGCCGCTCTCTTGAAGGAAGCTCTGCCTTCTGAGTAAAAGAGCCAGTGGCTAATCGGTAAAGTCAGCGCATCACTGCAGCTGCTGTTAGAAGTCCTGGTTGCTAGAAACAGTCAGCGTTCAGAGACGTGCGCTTAGGACTGCACATTCGCATTTGGCTGGTCTAGCCTGAAAAATACGCTTTTTTAATGCTATTGGACCATAAGAAACAACATTTATGAGACAGTTGTTGTCAGATTTCATTGGTGATTTCAAATATGAAATTTAATCATAAGCTTGGCGAACCATTTTGGAAAATTTGATGTTTCCCCATTCAAAGAGATAGGAGCTGCACTTGCATGCCCGAGAGGCGTTTCAAAGATGGCCACCGAGTGACATGACTTGCCTTAAAGGGACTTTGGTACTATACAGAACATTTTTAGTGGTCGCGAAGTAATTACTTATTCAAAATATGTACCTAAGAGAGTATGCCATTTCACACGCAACCAGCGTGCTGGGATAGTTTACTCAAAATGAAAAGTCTGGCATCTTGCTTACCTTTATATCATTCCAAATCTGTATGAAGGTGAATTACCACTTTAAAAACTGTCAAGAGAGTTTTGACAGGGCATTGAAGCATGGAAATATTTTCAAAAGCACAAGTGAATGTGAAAGGGTTTACAGGTTAGTTACTGTATATCATCACCTTTATGAGTCATCACATCCTTAGTCACTGATATCATGAGCTTTACTATTCAGTTATACAGGATCAGTTGAGAGCTATGACTTACTTTAATATAGGTATTTGTAATTGCCTTAATATTGTCAATTAAGGGGCCGGGATGTAGGAGCCATAAAGGTGTTAATGTTGTTGTATAATGTCTTTTCTATAGTCTGTGTTGATTGAATGTTTGTATGTATTATTTTCCGTACCCCCCTTGTGGTGGATGAGATTAATTGCATCCATTTTGGCATTTCCTGGGGGAAGTCTTAAACAGGATGTGGTGTGGCAAGGGGAGAGGGAAAGGAGACAGTTTTTTGACCTGCATATCAACTATCTTTCATGTAACAGTTTTGTTTTATTTTCAGGTATTTATGCCTTTGTTACATTAAACACCAGTCATGATCAAACAGGCTTTGGAGCAGTGTCAATTTTACTTTCCCACACGGAAGTGGCTATATACCAAAAAGAAGCCGCTACAGTGACCGTAAAATGAGCAGAGGTTATAGGATAAT